TCATCTCTTTCTCCCGTCGATCTCTTCACTCTCCGACAATCGTCCACCAATCCGCAATCGTCGTTGTAGTGGACGAACCTCCTCCGCCTCCACCACCGTCTCCTCCACCTCCGTCTCCTCCACCACCGTCTCCTCCTCCGCCATCTCCACCACCACCTGCTTTTGCGTTGGGGAAGACGCCGGAAGGATGCGATGTGTTCAAAGGGAATTGGGTCAAAGACTGGTCAACGCGTCCGTTTTATAGAGAATCGGAGTGTCCGTACATTCAGCCGCAGCTCACTTGCCGCACACATGGCCGTCCCGATAGTGATTATCAGTCATGGAGATGGCAACCTGAATCCTGCTCACTTCCTTCGTTAGTCTCTCTCAATTTCGATATTGAATGCGATTCGGTGATTGATCTTCAGATCGGTTTACTCTGTGGTTGTTGAATGTGTTATAGGTTTAATGCGACGGTGATGTTGGAGAGCTTACGAGGGAAGAAGATGATGTTTGTAGGAGATTCGTTGAACAGAGGAATGTATGTTTCTCTCATCTGTCTTCTTCATTCACAAATCCCAGAAAATTCTAAATCTATGGATACTTTCGGATCCCTCACCGTCTTCTCTCTCAAGGTAATTGGAATCAATCAATCAATAATACTTTGGCTCAGATTTAGAAAGTCTTGTGGAAGCCATTGAAGTTGCTTTGTAGAAAATTAAGATTAAGCTTGGATATGAAAATTGTTTGCTTGGTAGGATTCTTATAGATTCTTGTGGTATATTTATGTAGGACTACAATGCAACGATTGAGTTCTATTGGGCACCATTTCTTCTTGAATCGAATTCAGATAACGCTACAGTTCATAGAGTATCAGATCGGATTGTTAGGAAAGGTTCGATCAACAAACACGGTAGGCATTGGCGAGGCGCTGATATAGTCGTGTTCAACACATACTTGTGGTGGAGGACTGGCTTCAAAATGAAGATCTTGTATGTACCAATCATGAAATTTAAAAATCTTGTCATTGTTTCTAATTATAGGTTCTCAAGATATTTTTTCTGTATACCTCAATACTTGGGATTTGATTGTTTTTTTTCAATCTGTTATCTGAAGGGAAGGTTCTTTCAAGGATGAAAACAAGAAAATCGTTGAGATGGAGAGCGAGGATGCATATCGAATGGCGCTGAAGACTATGGTTAAATGGGTGAAGAAGAATATGGATCCATCGAAGACAAGGGTTTTCTTTGCTACCATGTCTCCTACTCACTACAAGTCAGTAACTTCTCGATCTTTTCTGTGATTTAAGTCATCTATAAACAGTTGCTTCAAATTAAAAACCAGGAAAAAGAGAGGTGATATATGGCTTAGAATAATATAGTTCAGATATGGTATAGAATGAAATGAGTAATGGGGTTTAGAAGGATCCGGTTTATCTTTAATAGTTCCAGTAAATGTGGCTTTGACATGATCCGCAAGTAGAAACCAGACTAAGATTTAGCTCGTAACGAAGCCCTAGAATACAAAGGTTTCATATTTTCTACCTCCATGATCAGGAGCGAGGATTGGGGAGGCGAACATGGAAAGAATTGTTACAATCAAACGACACCGATCCAAGACATGAATCATTGGCCATCAGACTGCAGCAAAACCTTAATGAAAGTGATAGGGGAAGAATTAGACCACAGAGCCGATTTTCCGGTGACTGTACTTAACATTACACAACTCTCAGGCTATCGAAAAGACGCGCACACGTCAATTTACAAGAAGCAATGGAGCCCATTGACGAAGGAGCAGCTAGCAAATCCGGCTAGCTACTCAGACTGTATACATTGGTGCTTGCCTGGTCTTCAAGATATTTGGAACGAGCTTTTCTTTGCCAAGTTATTTTATCCATGATTCTTTTCTCTAAAGTCAAGATTTTTTTAGAACTGTAATTGTAAATTATGGTTAATTTTTCTGTTAAGTATGTACACTATTGTTCTACAAAGAGGAGAAACAAAGTAACTCTGCTGTTCTCGTTCTCTATATTAACTCAATAGATGAGAATCAACACTTTATGATCCAAGGAAAGAACAAAGACTATAGAGTTATTCAATATTTTTTCATTGTGAATCAGATCATTAACACCTATTTCTTGTTTCTCCTATGATCAATCCGAAGATTATGTTGTAGTATTGTAGACCATTGCCTCAGAACTCTCAAAGATCCAGAGTACTCAAACCATCGAACTCGTGACCATCGTGTGGCTCGAGATGAAGCGGATGCAAATCATAACTACCAGAATTTACATGGTTTGGGTCCTGGCTCTGATCGGGACCAGGTAACATGCCTCCATTCATGTCTCCAAGGAGTTCGTCAATATCAAATAACTCATTAGGATCCCAAAGAATCTGATCATTTTCCATATAATTAGGCCAAGGCCAACCATAATCTGCAACAGTAAGCAAATCCGGTTGCTGATGTTGCTGTTGATGTTGCTGTATCTCCTCTTCTTCCTGCTTCGGTTTCTCTTCCTCCTGCATAGCTTCGCTCCAACACTGCTGTATCTCTTCTTCTTCCTGCTTCGGTTTCTCTTTCTCCTGCAAAGTTTCGCTCCAATACTGCTGCTCAAACTCTAACAGCAAATCGTAATTCAGCACAGAATTCGTATCATGATGTCCAACCGCGCAACTGTCCGGCCTGGTTACACAAGACTCTTCCCTAACATCTAAAATCTGACTACATGGTTTAGATTCACAATCAATATCCTCATGCTTCACACAAACATCACCACAAAGAACCGCCTTATTTTCAACCGTACACACCTCAGACTGACTCGATGTACTAGTTAACTCAGACCCAACAGACTGAGGGAAGTTAAGACGAGCCAATGGACCATACATAACACTAGCGGCTTCATCATAAGCGGCAGCAGCTTCTTCCGCGGTAGGAAAAGTACCAAGCCAAAGTCTTTGTCCTCTATTCGGTTCCCGTATCTCTGCAACCCATTTACCCCAAATCCTTTGTCTAACTCCTCTAAAACTACAGTGAGAATTATCTGGTCCTCCTTTACCCTTCATACAACCTTTCTTAGACCCTTTCGCAGGAACCTTGCGTTTCGGTTTCTCTCCTTCTTTAATAGCCGAAACTTCAAGAATCTCGTTGTACTCTTTCCACTTCTTTAACCTATCAGCCACCGTTGAACCATCTGCTCGAGCCCTAGATTTCCTTTTCTTCGGTGTATCGGTTCCGGTTTTTTCATATACAGCCATCTTCTTTTTAGTCGCAATCTTAGAATCTACAAGATAGGTAAAAAAAACGTTTGAATTAGTCTCTTTCTCTAATTCCAGAAAACGGAAAATCTATCAAGTCACACAGAGAATTTATAGTTATGGAGAGGCACGGGAACAACTTGGGCACCAAGGGTGTTTTACTTGCTCACCAAGTTTTACTTTATTTATAGATAAGGAAAATTCGGATTAGAATTTCCAATATTTTTTACCCGAGTCTTCGGGAGCAAGCTACTGAACAAATTGTAAAAGCTACTCACAATTAAAGAAACCGTGTAAATAAAATTAACCCTAAATTAGAAAAATCCCAAATTTCTCTCAAAAACAGCGAAACCTAAAAAGATGACATTTTTCACAAATCAATGATCACGAAAACATCTAAAACCCTAGAATCATCAAACCCAAAACCCTCTTCGAGACTAATTCAGCGAAAAATCGATGAACCCAGAAAAGAATAAATCAGAAAAAAATCGGAAATCAAACATACCTATCGTGAATGATAACTCCAGGATTAGAGTCGAATCTCTTCTTTAATGGGCAAAAATCTATTCTTTATCACGCAGATGTTGTTTTGGTTCGTGTTAAATCGATCAAAATCAAATCTTCGTCGAGAGCTTTCGCGTTCTTTCTAGCGTCTTTTTTTTTTTTTTCTAAAGACAAAAAACTTTTTACAGAAATCAGATATTATTAAGAATCGAAAGGGTATTTATAACTTTGTCTAGATATTTTTGATATTTTAATGAGAGTAGTAGTGACATGGCACTTATTCATTCGAAAGATGGATCACTACATTCCCTGGTGATGACACGTGTCGAAATTGTCACCACATAAAAACACGCTCTCGATACGGGTAAGCAATTGAATCCTTACCATAGTTGATAAACACACATACAAAGAAACATAGTAATATTTAATAGAATATGTTACATGTTAAGACTCAAGAGTAATAAATTAATCATATAGTTGAATTTATTAAAATCAATTTAAATCACAAAACAAAATATTTTAAGAACTTATATTTAAATAATGAAAACTTAATTATTAAGAAATCTCATTCTAAGATTATAGTCAATATTTGAACAAAATCTAATATTTTGAGAAAAAAAATTAACAGTATGTTATGCATAATTTATAACCAAAAAAGGGTAGATATTGTAATCCTTAATATGTAGTTGTTTTCTCAATTTATCAAAATGTTAAATTTGAATTATAATATCCAAAAATTCTATAACAGTAATTAATCATTAACACAGTTACACAAAGCAACATCACAGCCATAGATTATTTATTTTGTGTTTAGTTTTAGTTTTTATTTTACAATTCATATTCATATCGTAGGGTGTGGTTTTCAGACTCTCTCTTCATCTTCGGATACTCTATGAGGTATGAAAAAGAAAAAGGCAATCACAAATTTGTTATTTCGCAATCTCTAAAAAAAATAAAAGATGAATAATCTCAAAATGTCCAAGCACTATCGATGAGACCAAATGTCCATGTGGTGAAATGGGCCCTCGTTTTCTTTATCCGCCTTCACTATTGGGCTCTAGCCCTGAGTTTTTTTTTTTGCGCAAAATTGATACATCGATGGGGATGAACCCTTCTCGACGCTGTCGAGTGTCGATCATCACTAGGACTAGTCATCTCTTCCTGAATTCATTTTCCTCGGTCAATTTAATTTGGTTGGAAAAACTACAACGTTTTTTTTAGGTTCCCTGTACGTAACTAAAAAGTAAGACAAAATGTGTAGAAATGAATCTTTCCAACAACACTTTCATGGGTTTCGACAGACCAACGATACCTGAACTATCCTCAGTCCGGAATCCATCTATCGAGTACTTGCTTGGCTCCAACAACAGCTTCACGCGCAAGATTCCTTCTTTCATATGCGAGTTACGTTTTCTAAAAATTCTCGATTTATCTGACAACAACTTTAATGGTTCAATCCCTCGTTGCATGGGAAATTTCAAGAGTACTCTTTCAGTTCTAAACCTTCGTCAAAATAATCTTAGCGGAGGTCGCTTGACGTCGGCCATAACCAACTGGTGGGAAAGCTTCCAAGATCTTTGATTCGTTTCACTACTCTTGAAGTTTTGAACGTGGAAAGCAACAGAATCAACGACACGTTTCCGTTCTGGTTGAGTTCACTGCCGGAGCAACAAGTTCTTGTCTTACGCTTTAGTGCATTCCATGGACCAATACATCGAACCTTGTTCCCTATGTTGCGAATCATCGACATATCAAATAATCACTTCAATGGAACTTTGCCAACAGAGTACTTTGTGAAGTGGAGTGGGATGTCATCACTTGGGGAAATTAATGAAGACCAGTCTAACGAAAAGTACATGGGATCATACTATTACCATGATTCAATAGTTTTGATGAATAGAGGTGTAGCACTGGAGCTGGTGCGTATCTTAAAAATATACACAGCAATCGACTTTTCGGGAAACAGATTTGAAGGAGAGATTCCAAAGTCCATCGGTCTATTGAAAGAGCTTCATGTGCTCAACTTGTCAAACAATTCTTTCACCGGCCACATCCCTTCATCTATGGGGAACCTCACAGCTCAGTCACTGGACATTTCTCAAAACAAGCTTTCAGGGGAAATCCCACAAGAGCTAGGGAGCCTCTCGTTCCTTGCGTACATGAACTTCTCTCATAACCAGCTTTCAGGTCTAGTTCCAGGAGGCAATCAGTTTCAAAAGCAGTCTTGCTCTTCCTTTGAAGATAACCTGGGACTTTTCGGCTCTTCTCTTGAAGAAGTTTGCAGAGATATTCACACGCCAGCATCACATCAACAGAATGAAACGCCGGAAACAGAGGAAGAAGAAGAAGAGGTGATTAGTTGGATAGCAGCTGCAATAGGATTCATACCTGGTATTGTTTTTGGATTGACGATTGGATACATACTGGTTTTCTACAAACCAAAGTGGTTCATGAACCCTTTTGGCCGAAACAATTGTAAAAGGAGAAGCACCACAAGTCACTAGAGAGGTAATGTTCTGACTTTTAAACGAATTTGTTTGCATACATTATAATAAATTACGTGGATAAACTTTTTAATATAGGTCCGTAATTGATACTGAAATGTGTGAAATACATCTTTGATCTTTCATTTTCGCATTCGTAGCCCGGCGTTCTGTTCGGTGATTAAACTGCTGAATTTTATTAAGAATGTAAAAAGCTCAATGTTTGGACTTCACATGGAAGCTTTTTTTGTTGCTTTCTTACAGACACAATCCTTTGGTGCTTTGAGGGTGTCCAAGATAACAATCAAGAATGAGGTGTGAGTGAAATGAAGCTCATATACAAAGATCTGCATTTATGGTTTCTTTTGTCTAAGAACTCTCACTGCTTCCTCATTAATAACTTTCTTGGCGCATTTTGCTTGTGAATAAAGAGCATGTACATGTGGAATGATATTAAGCTTTTAGTTTAATGGCGATGTAAGTTTCATGTAGTTGTTAAAATCAAACCTTTTTATGCCGAAGAACAATGGAAGTGAGTTCAAAAAAACATCCAGTACCAGTTTTTCTGCAATTCATACTGAAACTGAAACATACCAAGTCAAGGATTGACAACAAAAGAGGAAATAGTATTCCTTTAAAGCCCGTTTCGAACTTTGAGTCAGATAATTTCCATATTCTTCCTTTTTTCGCATTTGTTCAAAAGAAAAAAAGTAGCTAGTTACCATATGCTTAAAGACTTCCATTGCTCCCTTTTAGCCGAAGTATCTCCCTTCTTGATTCAAGCTGCAAGATAAGAGAGTATGCATTTGACGCTAGGTATGAAAAAAGAAAAAAAGTATCAATTTACGAATTTTGCAAAGTGTTTTTACCTGCTCCATCTCCAAAGTAATCATCCTCTCGGCTTGTTTCATCTGAGTATGCTTCAACTCCTTGACTTCCGCCAATAGCTAGCAGAGAAAAACACATTCATAGTAGATTCATTAGTGGGTCACAAGCAAAACTAATTTTTTATAGTTCAGAGAACAATGGATGACCTAAACTTACCTCAGTCAATATATCCACAACAGTGGGAGATCCAATTTCCACCTTGAAATTATCCATACGGCCGATGTCATCAACCACGTCTCCTGTAGCGGCGGAAACATACGAAGATCCACAAGGCGATTTAGCTATACTTCTTTCCTCAAAGTCCCAGGAAATCTTCTCATCCTCCCAACAATTAGGCACTACAGATGAAGAAGCTTGTCCTGTGTTACCCGCAAAGCTCTTGAAACAGTCCTTATCCTTAGGATCCTCCAAAATCTTGTTCAATCCATCCAGATGGACTTGAAAGGAAGATGCTGCATCCCAATCGATGACTGAATATGTATCCTCAGCAGGATCTTCCTTGCTAATGCTAGTTCCTATTCTATTGTTAGCTGTAGTAGAGGTTCCCTTTTGTGTTGGATGGAGATTTTGTTGATGATGATAAGCATTCACTTTGACATCGTCACCTTCCTTTGAAGCATTTCTGAAAGTTCCACTGTCTTGGCGGAAAGATGGAACTCGAGAAGCCGATGTCCAATGATTTTCAACACCTTTACATGCTTGAGATGAAACTTCATTTGTCAAAGAAGTTTTCTTCTCCAGAGTTGAAGAAGCGGTCATGTTTTTCAGAGCTGATGAGTAAGATGTACCAGACTGTGACACTGATGGTTGAGTTCTTCGCTCATCTGCATTATTGGAAGCTGTTTCCCATTCTTTAGTTTTTCCAAGATTGACTAATCTTGAACCTGCTCCGAGTGCACCTTCTTTTGAGTCTTTTTCTTTGTTTTCGGTAGACTCATCGGAAGATTTGAACAGACTGCTCCACTTATCAACACGTGTTGCTCCCAAGTCACCTATCTGTGCAAGAGAAGATGTCGGAATAGGCTTTCTGGGTGGTGGTACAGCATCTCTTGATATCGATGGTGGTGCCCTTACAGATGGTGATGGTTTAAACAAACGGAGCAGCTTGTTTGTCTGACCTCGGTCTAGTTCAAACCAAAACATCTTTTCGTCCTTGTAATTCTCAGAAATTACGGGGCTGAACTTTTCTTCAGGTAAGGGCTCACACCGCACTCGGACTCGTACCTTTACCTGTGGCAAAAATTTGCAGAACGAGATACATATCTGTTTAGAGGACATTTGGGTGAATCAACTAAAGAAGGCGTTCTGTACTAAGTAAAGGTACCTGAGCAGGATATGGAGTTGGATCTGTCCCATTTGGAGACCAAGCTTTGGAATCAATGTTCAGTTTTCCTTCACTAGCAGCTTCAAATATGCCGTGAAGTGTTCTGTCACTGTAGTTGAATAGGAACAGCGTCAAGCCGGGATCAATGTTCTTGATATAAGCCATGTGTGGGGCTGGTAAACCTGTTCACAAACGAGCATCATTTTCAAAATCCTGGTCGGCACTAAAGTTTAAGCCTCAAAGATTGTATAGGCAACTAACCAAACAAATTCTTAGCATAGCACTCTTTGATAGTGCTGAACTTGCATCCAAATATAACCCCACAAAGATCTCCCTTCTTCAGATTTCTCACACACATATTTCCATATCCTGATATGTATTGGCCATCCGGAGCCAATGTATAGGTCTCTGTCTTCCTCCCTGCACCCATTGCTTCTCACTAGAAAGAATCAAGATATATATCAAAACAAAAGCATAAGAAAAGCAAAAAACGATAATGAGGAAAGTGAAATGTCTCCAAAATCATCAAGCAATTTGCAGTAATTCTCTAAAATATTCAGTTCCAGATACCCCAAGCAGGACCATTTTTCACTTTGAGACAATGTTAACAACACTAAACCTAAAAATTTCATGATTACGGAAGACACTATAATGAAATTTGTTCTGTCTACTAAGTTCCAGAAACCCTAAGCAGAGAGGATCTTCAATTAATAAACGTTAATACCAGTTGCTACTTCGGAAACCAAAGAAAGATGAAAGATATCATAACCACATGTGTTCTTCCTCCTCAAACGCTCAGTGACAAACCAAAATCGAAGGTTTCCAAAACAGAAATCTAAACGGAAACGAAGAAATGAAAACAAATCTGAGAAGCTGAGTCAATGATACCTCAGATTCCTTAAGCGAACAGCTACTTGAGGTTGAAGGAGACGATCTCACTCACCGAAGAGAGATTCAAGGTTTCCGAGCTTAGAAAAAAGCAAACAGAGCAACATCAGAGCACAATCTCGACTAAATTTCCAAAAAAAAACAACTGCTAGAGTGAGAGAAGATTTTCCTCACCTGAACGATCGAGAGACGAAGAAGACAAAGCGAACGGAATCTTCAGAAACTCAACTTTCTGCAAATTTCAGTCGAACGCATTGGGATGAGGAAAATTTCACAGAGAAATTGAATCTGAACACGAAAAATCTTAGGGTTTCTTTGATTTGAGAATGGCTAATATGAGAGAGAGTTAAAACAAAAAGGTACTACGACTGAAAATCGCAGAAACACTGCAATTTATTTTCTGAGACTAAGAAAAATAGATGAAGCGCGAAAAAGAAATATTTATGAGACGATTTTACCCTTTTGGGTTTTGGGGCTTTGACACCAGAATGGAAAGTTATAGGGGTGTTTTCGTAATATTATTTATCGGAGAATGCAGAGAGACGTTGCAGTTGCCTGTACGACAATCACGTCAATGCTCTGGGTTAATAAAGTAGAGAGATTTGTTTAAGATCTTGACAAAACCAAATAATAATAAAAATTATAAAATTGCTTTTTTTTTTGTTAATTAAAATTATAAATTATAAAATTGTTACCATCATGTTTATTCCGATTCTGCATGCAAATGATTTTTTAAATCCAGAAATTGGAGCAACGTTACCAAAAACAAATTCAAACAATAAAAAAATAACATATTTTGATTTGAATTGTTTTTTTATGAAGAGGTAATTCTGAAAACTATGAACTAAAAAAATGTTATGGGATATTATATTTTAGTTTTAATTTTTAAACAAACATGAGAAAATAAAATACTAACTGCTGGTTTAGTAAACAGATCTTCTAGTTTTTGTCTTTAAAAAACAAAAAAGAGTGCATCAAATAGTCGATATTTACCCTGGTATGCAATTCGATGCACGTAGCTGGGATTATCACTTTGATATTTTTGCCTTCTTCTTTACAGAAAGGATGTGTTTTCCATAGTAATGTGGTAAGACCATCTCCAATGTCCATCTCTATATTTTTCTCTATTTTAGAGGGATACATGAGAGCAAAATCTCCTTTAAAATAGAGTTCCTCTAAAATAGAGAAAAATATAGAGGTATGCATTAGAGATACTCTAAAAACAGAGTTTAATGGAAAATGTGTTGCATTGTTAAAGTTTCGTTGTCACCAACTTTTGAAATTTCAAACTTTCATGCTTCCATACAATTTTTTTTTTCCGTATACATCATTAATACAGATTAATCAAAAATAAAAAAGCATTAATCTTTGAGTTTATTTTTTATCAGTGGAGTAGTGGACATTAAATGCTTTTAAAAAAAATACAAAGAAAAGCGATAAACAACAATTGGAATATGAAGAGTGTGAAATTTTATTATCTTTCCCCATTTTTTTTTTCAGTTTAAATACCATGATATCTACCCCATTACTTTTCTTTCCACCGAAAAACACTCTGAGTTTCTGAATTTGAGGCTCTTACCGTTTTTAATTTTTTTTCATTCAGGGTAATTAGTTAAGTTTGAATAGTTAGACTTCAATTTGTAAAGAAAAATCAAACAATAAATAAAATTTCTGTGCATAGCACTCAAGGCATTTTGTTAAAAAATTAATACTAATTCACTTAAATTTTGCTTTTAAAAATTTAATACTTTTATAAAAATAGTTTTTTCACAAAAAGAACCAATGCTACAATTTTGTTAAATACATGTACGTACGTGGCTGTTCTCCATTTCACAATTACAAATACATTATTTTCAATCTCTTTTTTCTTTCTCAAAATTATTACTGTATATATGTTTTCCTAAATAAATGTTTTTTTTTTAATGAAAGATATCATTTATTTTGAACATTGATTTCAATATTTTTATACAATCTGACTATTCAAACTTCTTGTGTTTCTCATCCTTTCTTTTTTTCTTTTCTCAATCGGAAGGAAAATATCATGGAAGAGATTTTCCATCATAACTTACCAAATCACGTATCTTTTAAATTCATGTTTCTAAATTTTTCATAACACAATTCACCACTATTAGATATCAATGACGAGCTGACTCGGGATTTTGAAGATAAAGAAATATATGATGTTGTTTGCTCTATCGGTGATGACAAAGCCCCCGGCCCCGATGGTTTAACAGCACGTTTCTACAAATCATATTGGAATATCATTGGTGAGGACGTTATCAAAGAGGTGCGCGATTTCTTTTTAACCTCCTACATGAAACCAAGTATCAATCATACAAATATCTGTATGATACCCAAACATACTAATGCAAAAATCCTGAGTGACTATAGACCTATAGCTTTGTGTAATGTCCTTTATAAAATTATCTCAAAGTGCCTTGTTAACCGCCTTAAACATCACTTGAGAAATATTATTTCGGATTCACAAGCAGCCTTTATTCCTGGGAGACTTATAACAGACAACATTCTCATTGCCCACGAGGTGATGCACTCCTTAAAAACTCGTAAGAGAGTCTCCCAAAACTATATGGCTGTTAAAACGGATGTTACAAAAGCTTACGATAGAGTAGAATGGGGTTTCTTGGAGACCACAATGAAACTGTTTGGGTTTTCGAATCAATGGATTGAATGGATCATGGCTACAGTTCGTTCTGTAACGTATTCGGTTCTTGTGAACGGTTCACCTCACGGGCTGGTCACACCGGAGCGGGGTATTAGACAAGGCGACCCTCTTTCCCCGTATCTATTCATTCTATGTGCAGATATTATGAACCACCTCATCACAACAAAAGCAAAATCTGGGGAAATTCGTGGTGTGAGAATAGGGAATGGTGTTCCTGCCATTACTCATCTCCAATTTGCAGACGATTCACTCTTTTTCTGCCAAGCAAATAGCCGAAATTGCCGCGCTTTGAAAGAAGCTTTCGAAGTTTATGAATACTATTCAGGCCAGAAAATAAATACAAATAAATCCCTTATCACTTTTGGATCCAGAGTTAACGGCAACCTTCAAAATCGCCTAAAACACATTCTGGAAATTCCAAATCATGGAGGTAATGGGAAATATTTAGGCCTACCTGAACAGTTTGGCAAGAAAAAGAAAGAAATGTTTGCGTATATTATCGATAAAGTGAAGCAGAGAACATCAACTTGGAGTGCACGATACCTATCACCAGCCGGAAAAGAGATCATGATAAAATCGGTAGCCCTTTCAATGCCGGTCTACACAATGTCTTGTTTTAAACTACCATTGGGAGTAGTCTCCGAAATCGAAGCTCGGCTCATGCGATTTTGGTGGGAAAAGGGTGATCAAAACAGAGGCATCCCATGGATAGCGTGGAAACGGTTACAGTTCTCCAAGAAAGAGGGAGGTTTAGGTTTTAAAGACCTTTCTAAATTCAATGATGCCCTACTAGCTAAACAAGCCTGGCGAATCATTAGAAATCCAAACTGTTTACTCGCTCGGCTTATGAAAGCTCGTTACTTCCGCGATGATAATATTTTGGATGCAAAACAACGTGTAAAACAGTCTTATGGGTGGGCCTCCGTGTTAGCTGGACTGGAAATTATCAAAAAAGGTTCAAGGTTGATCATAGGCGATGGTGAACTTGCTCGTTTGGATGGTGATAACGTTGTCCCGACTCACCCACCTCGACCAATCCGAAGCATTAATGGCAGCTCCGACATTACCATCAAAGAATTAATCTCTAATACAGGTTCATACAGGTTTTGGAACAAGAATGCAATTAGAGACAAAGTCATTCTAGAGGACCGTAACATATTTGAACAATTTCACCTTCCACAATGTATACAATCAGATAAATTAGTCTGGCATTATAATAAAACAGGGGAATACACGGTCCGCTCGGGTTATTGGCTAATTACTCATGAACATCAATACCTGGCTGCTCGTCCAGAAGTACTTTTCGGTTCGCTAACAATGCAGAACTCCATTTGGAAATTATCAACAATACCAAAAATCAAACATTTCCTTTGGAGGGCAACCACAAAGGCTTTAGCCACAACAACACGTCTGAACACCCGCGACATGAAGTTGGATCCAAAGTGTCCGCGCTGCTGTGTGGCCAATGAGACCATCAACCACGTCCTTTTCACATGTCCTTTTGCAACTATGATATGGAGATTATCCAATGTTCCTTTACACTCACTACAATCTCCTTCCGCAAACTATGAAAGTAATCTCTTAAAGGTATTGGAATTACAAAAACTGCAGGGTTTGGAAACAGAACAGAAACTTTTACCACTCTGGCTCCTATGGCACATATGGAAGGCAAGGAATAAGTACGTCTTCAACATGATCCGAATGAGCCCCTCTATGGTCGTCCTACAAGCGAGAGCAGAAGTGCATGAATGGGTTGATAATCTTCAGTCTAGAGAACCTTATGATCAAGCGTTAGCTTTCGACCAAATTGAGCAACATTGGAGGAGACCCCCAGCACCTTTTCTCAAATGTAATTATGATGCCGGATTTGATCCATTAACACACCAAGTTACGGGTGGGTGGATTTTGAGAGATGATAGAGGCAATGCAAATTTCTGGGGTGCGTCCCGTCTACCAAATGCCATCACGCCCCTTGAAGCAGAAGCTAAGAGTTTACTGGCCGCAATGCAACAAGTATGGATTCATGGTCATACTTCGGTTATTTTTGAAGGCGATTGTCAGAACCTCACAAAGATGATTAACGGAGAATCTTATGATATCACAATCGATGGTATCTATCAAGACATTTTGTTATGGGCAGCTAAATTTCATTCTTTACAGTTTGTATTTGCTAAACGTTCTTGTAATAATGCGGCTCATTTGTTGGCAAAACATGGTGTTCCTGTTCGATGTTTTTTCTCTGAAACTTGTAATCCACCAAGGTGGTTATCTCAACAATTGTATGATGAATCTTATTAATATAATTTTATTTTCGACGAAAAAAAAAAAAAAAAAAAAACTAATCTCCTATATATACGGGCATTAATTTTGGGATAGATGGATTTTCTTGTAACTAAATCATACACGCAATCTACTTTTTGTTACTAATGAAGAGATAAATTTTATATCAGCGTTTCATTTTCTTGTTTTGTTAAGAGAAATTATGTAAAGTATACACTTTTTTTACAAATAATTTGCAAAGTAGGTAGTTTTTTTAGAAATTAGAAGGATATACACTTTTCTCTTTCCTCTCTAATACAATTTTCTCTCTAATAGAGATTTTATTAAATGACTTATATATCCTTTGTTGTTTTGTTACGTAGTAAGATAAAGACAAAACTATAACTTTTTCTCTTTCTTCTTTTAACTTAAACTTAAATACTTTTATTTTGTTTTGTTTTGTTAAAAAATCTTCATAAAAAATTATTACATAAACATATTAATCTTTAAAAATTTTAAGTGAATCTAAAAAGTTCAATTTTGCTATATTTTATATTTGTTTAATTTAATCTCAATCCGTCGGTGTACACAATAATGTAAAAAATGGTGTACGGCGATAATATAAAAATTAATATATATTATTAATGTAAAAGTGGTATACAATATGTAAACAGTATACAAGGTGGTTTACAAACGACAATTGATAGAGGTGTACACGTACATAATACGATGGTGTACGGAGATGATGTAAAATATGGTGTACATATAACGATGAGATAGTATGTCGCACCATATACTACCTCGTGTGTAGTTTACAATATCGTACACCCACATATTTTGTACTTGTACATCACATACAAAGAAAGAACCATTTTTGTCAAGTGATAATGTATAAAACAATATTTACACAATAGTGTACGAGATTGGTATACAGAGGAGTGTACAAACGTTAGTGTACACTACATAGAAATGTACAAACATTATTTCAATTTAATGGTATACACCATCATATTCATTGGTGTACATGATGGTGTACACTATTATATTTAGTATAACCTATGGTTTATATTACAATCGTGTTTGTATTAATATTATGAACAATAATTACTTCAATTTACAAATATAAGACAAATCGATGTACTTAATGACTTGGTGTACAAGTTAGTGTACAAAACTATGTTTAAGATGCTGGTGTACGAGATTGGTAGCAGAATATATACAAGTCATTTTTTTTTTTAAGATTCTTTTTTTAAAAAGAAAACCAAAATGATTAAGAAAAAAAAAAGTAATGATATAATATAATTTGATCCAATAATATAAAAGATTTGAACCCACACAAAAAGCTAACTCACAAAAGATAAGGGGTAAAGTGGTATTTGACTTCTTTCTTGTTTTTTAGTCTATTACACACCACTTCTATCTCACAAAAGAAATAAAAAGTGTCTATTTCACAAATTTCTAAAAAAACTACCTATTTCTCAAATTACTTTTATAAAAGTGTTTACTTTGCTAATAAGCCCTTTTGTTAAAACTTTGAGGAGAATCTAGGGCTTTAGTGTCTCGCTCCACTATGATGAAAAAACGACGGTTGTTGAACGTCTCGGAAGATAGTCTAAACTTTCCTGGAAGCAGAACGCGGACGCTAGCCTCAGTTGAAAAAAGCCTACAGTCATTGCCGCTCCCAAAGGATCTCGTTGTCGATATATTCTCGAGGCTGCCGGCGAAATCTATTGCTAGATGTCGTTGCTTATCAAAGTACTGGGCCTCCGTATTTTGCGATCAACATTTCACAGAGTTGTTTATGAGAAATTCTTCTCTTCGCCCGCAGCTCTTATTCGCGTGCGCACACGAGGATTGGTTCTTCTTATTCTCCTCACATCAGCCTCAAAACCTTGATGAGGACTTGGGTGCTATAACTGCGGATCTTCTTACTAATGTCCCTCATGCCTATGAAGTCAAGGGTCCTGTCAACGGTTTGTTCTGTCTTAAACGTCACCCGCCAGATAATCCATCAGTATCAAATTATTACGCCAAGGAGCATCAATGTAAGGATCGAGTATCAAGTTCTACCACTAGGAACTGAAAGAAAATCATGGAGGATGATTCAATGCTGCAAACCCCATGTTCCTCATGGTAGTGAAATATGCATCAACGGTGTTTTGTATTATACTACGGTCGAAAAAGAGTCTTTAATGGTAACTACGGTAGTTTGCTTTGATATTAGCTCTGAAAAGTTCAGCTTTATGAAAGTCACGGAAACTTTCAATAGAGATCTGCCTAGGTCAACAACTATGATAAACTACAATGGCAAATTAGGTTTGTTGATGGCTGAAGAGTAACGATATTGTTAGTGGAACAAGTAAAAGTTTCGAGTTGCGGGTCCTAGAAGACGCTGGAAAACATGAATGGTCAACACATGTATACATGTTGCCTCCTTTGTGGAAGAATCTAGTTGGAGAAGAGACCAACCTACGGTTTCTTGGATTGAAAGGCACCAATGAAATTGTGTTGTCGTGCAAGTACCCATCTACATTTATGCCTTCCTACGTCTTCTACTACAACATCGAGAGAAACACGATCAGAAGACTTCAAATCCAAGGAATGGAAGAGTTTAACGGTAAGCGCTGTTACATCTATCTAAACCATGTAGAGAACATTAAGCTTATTCAAGCATATTAGTATTTTACAACTTGAGATATAGGCTATTAAGTTCTAATCATAGGGATCATTTAGTCCTTATCTTTTTCTTATGTATTGTTCTCCATTTCACGATAATAATATATACATTATTTTTATTTCTATTTAATTTGTATCTAAAACATACTATACTAAGAGAAGAATCTGATTTCAAATTGCAAGAACTTCGGAAACTTTGTTGTACGTGTTTGGTTCCCATTTTTCAATCAGAAAGAGAATTTTGGAAGATGATCCTTTCACGAATAAATGGAAAGAGCGAATACTATAAGAGAAGCAAATATAACAAATTAGCAAACATATTCGTTCATCAACAACAACTGATGAAGTTAAATGTTCTGAAGACTGTTGTCTATTGATCATCAAGAAACAATAATAATCACAAAATGTTTTCTGTTTAAAACAAAACATTCTCTCTTTTATCTCAGTCAATGAAGAAAGTCGGATTTGGACATGATCAAGAAGCGTAATAAAATACTAGTTAGAACATCTTATTCCTCTTCGTGTCACATTCATAAACCACAAAAAAAAAATAACTTTTCTTTAATAAGAGTAAAATAGTAAATGAATAATCTTTTCCTTCTGCTTCAAGCAATCTAAGAACCGCGTTAATTAAACTTTATATAATAAGCTCTACTTTTCTTCGCTTTATTTAACTAATATAAAAATTTGAGAAAAAAATCAAGACAATGCGATCCTTTGATTTATAGACACTCCTTTTAATTAGATTTCTTGTATCAGACAGACTTGTTCAAAAAATAAATATTGTTGGATAAAAATGGTGAGTGTTGTGGGAGAGATGTTTTGTAATCCGTACACGACGGAGCTGGTGGTGAGAAGGCGGCGTGAGAGCCTGAAAAGGGAACACTACGACGTTTTCGATCTCTCTGACAATCTCATCTTCACCGTGGAAGGTGGCATTTGGAATATCCGTCGTAAACGTGTACTCCGTGACGCCACCGGAATTCCTCTTCTTTCCATGCGTACCAAGGTCACACAAACCTCACTAATCACATATATTTATCTACGAAGTTATTTAATCGTATTGTTGAGGATCATCACATGTTAATTGTGTTATATGAAGTTTAGTTCGGTTTTAATGGAACGACTTATTAGATTATTTCTTAAAACAAGGTCGTTTATACGAAACGTTTTTAAAGGACAATTTGGCTGCATAACCGAATTTCTCCACATAGAGAACCTAGCTTACCCATCAAGATAGTAATGCCTAATCTTATTTTTCAGAAAATTGGTAGATGTCAATAGACAGGTTGAGTGGTAAATGGCCTAAAACCAAAATTTTTTGCCAACCTTTCTCTTTAGTTTGTTACTTGATAGTCTCAAATTATTCTCATTCAGCAATGGAATGACTAGTTGATTAACGATATCGGCAATGACAAAATGATCAAATTTTTAATTGTAGAACGTAAGACAATGGAAATTTGATTTGACACTCAAAAACATATAGAGTCAAAAGAATGTCTAGAAATATTTGAGACTTGAAAGCATAATTTATGCTCTCGTGAGAAAACAAAGTTGATTCCATCTCATAACCAATTGACCACATTCACGAGTAAGTAAGTACTTGGTTTTCTGAAAGGAACGTCAAATGAACCATGTTTCAGGGACTTGTAACAATGAGATACAAATGGGAAGTATACAAAGGAGAAAGCACAGAATCTGAAGATCTTCTTTTCTCAGCAAGGGAACCAAATCTATTATCCTTCAAACCATCACTTGATGTCACTTTACCGCCACCCCAAAATTCAACGGACATTAGTAGTATTGCGCCAGATTTTCAAACATTTGGTCGTTATATCGGCTCTTCTTTCAAACTCTTCGAGCCAATTCACAATACTCTTCTTGCTGAGGTATGTCATCCTTATTCCTACCTTCTTTGCTTCTTGCTCAAACTAGATTTATTCGATAGTTAAAAGATTATACGGTAAATTATGTTAAATTTTAGCTCATTTCTCTAGCTAACCATTTGCACCCATATAAAGCTTATTGTTCGAAGGATCTACACTAAAGTTATTTTAGCTAGAACAATATGATAAATGAGAGCTAAAATTATGCAGGTGGTTCATGATTTCTCATGGGGAGGACCTATAAAAGGGAGTTACAGCTTCAAAGTGAGAGTGAATCCATATATCGATTTCGCATTTGTGGTGGCGTTACTTGTAATCACAGATGATACTTCCAATCTACGTTAGAAAACAAGATTTCTACTAATCTCAAGGGGGTACGTTTCAATGTTTGAGGATACATTTTGTTCAAAGTATAGATAAATGGGTTGTAATACGGGAAAAATGTCGTTTATCTCCCAACTTTCAAAAAGTGGCCAATTAATACGTCAACTTCATATGTGGCCATTTAAAACATGAAATAAACGTTGACTAACGTTTGAGACATGAAAATTCGTTGACCAGGCCAAAATAGACATGCCGTTATCAGTCGTTAAAGGAACCTCTAACGCCCGTTATCACCTGTAACGACTCTGTTAATCAACTTTCAAATTGTGGCCATTTTAAACATCAACTTCATATGTGGTCATTCAAAACATGAACTAATCGTTGACTAACATTTGAAACATTAGAATTCGTTGACCAGGCCAAAATAGACATGTCGTCATCATTTGTTAACAGAACCTATAACATCCGTTATCACCCGAAGTTTTAAAATACCCGTTAACGACTCTGTTAGTATGTCCAAAACGACGTCGTTTTGAAAATAATCGAGAGAAAATTAGGACAAATTTTTTGTTTAAAGCATAATCCAAGGACATGGTTTGATATAGAGACAATCGTGGAGCCAATAATTGGAAGCAAACATCGTTTATATATTTGTTTTAAATCTAAAAAGGAATCATGGAAGCAAACTTGTAGACCCATCATAGGACTAAATTAGGCATGGGCGTTCGGATATTCGGGTCGGGTTCGGGTCGGGTTTTTTGGGTTTGGATTTTTCGGGTTTAGAAAACTAAGACCCGTTCGGGTATTTTAAAACTTAGGGTTCGGGTCGGGTTCGGATCGGGTATTTCGGGTTTGGATTCGGGTTTACCCAAAGTATCCAAATATTAGAAATTTTGTATCTGATTCTATGCAAAGTATTGAAAAATACTCAAAAAATCTATAAAACCCAAGTATTTTAACCCGAATCTAACCCAAAGTAGCTAAAACACCCGAAAATATCTTAACATCCGAATAATTTTGGCACTTAGGTTATTACAAGTATAAATATTACTAATATATTATAACTATGTACTTATATTTTGGGTATGTTCGGGTACTTGTTCGGGTTCGAGTTCGGGTCGGGTTCGGGTTCGGGTTTTCGGGTTGTGAAGTTTAGAATCCGTTCGAGTATTTTAAAACTTCGGGTGATAACGAATGTTATAGGTCTGTTAACGAATGATGACGACATGTCTATTTTGGCCTGGTCAACGAAATCTAATGTTTCAAATGTTAGTCAACGATTAGTTCATGTTTTGACTGACCACATATGAAGTTGATGTTTAAAATGGCCACAATTTGAAAGTTGATTAACAGAGTCGTTACGGGTGATAACGGGCGTTAGAGGTTCCGTTAACGACTGATAACGGCATGTCTATTTTGGCATGGTCAACGAATTTCCATGTCTCAAACGTTAGTCAACGTTTATTTCATGTTTTAAATGACCACATATAAAGTTGACGTATTGATTGGCCACTTTTTGAAAGTTGGGAGATAAAACGACATTTTTCCCGTTGTAATATACATCAATATTTTGGATAACATTTTATGAATATTTTGGCTTTTGGGCATGGGACATTATCAAAAAACAAATCTAGTTCAATGAATGTCAACATTTGCGTCAGTGCATCACACGATTAAATTAAATAATGAAATACGCCCATGTAGACTTTTTATATGATTTTTATCTTCCCAATTGATTAATCTGTTTTGTTTATTAGTTCCGTTCTGTTATTATCGTCACCCCATATTGACCATACGAACGCCAAAACATTGATATATCACGCGAAAAAATGCGTGTCTACATCCACAAAAAGACGCATAAGTGACCTTCCTCGTTGCTTCCCACTCCCAATTCTTTCTCTTTCATAATCTTTTTTAACTCTTTTTTATTAATTGCTTCCACGATTGCATTTAATCAATTTTCAACTCTTTCGTTAGTTGTCGTTTTAATTATATGCACACAAATTAAAAATCTATTAATGTCGTTAGTTTTTCAATATAAAAATATCATTAATTATCTACCTAAACATAATTTAACCAATAGTAAATCAAGTTGCATAATAAAAATAAATATAAAAAATAAAAAAGTAATAAATTTTGCATTGAAAACTGAAAACGACAACTAATTAAAAAAAAAAAATTCTCTAAAACGACAACTATTCGAAAACGGAAGGAGTATATAGTAAATCATGTAATCTACATTATCCAAAAAAAAAACAGTTCATACTTATTGCGACCCTAAATAAGCGATCTTAGACAAGAGTATGCCGAGTAGTGGATAAACAGACTAATCCTATAATCTACAATAACCAAATAAATTTGTCATACATTGATATTATTTCAACGCTAATTCAAACAAAGATATGGGCCATATATGGCTATTATATTTTGCTAACAAATGCACAGCTTCTCGTACTATAAAATCATCAAAAGATCACAAAAGCACTTTTTTATTTCAATTATAACATAACCAAACGTTACATCAAACACAACGGGACAACAAGTCAATTTGGGTTTCCCCATTCTTGCTCCCACTAAAAAACACAAAACCACACGATTATTTTAAAGCGATTAAAAAAAAAAAAAGAACTAGCAACAGCCAAACGCGGCCTTAGCCTGAAGCCCACTCCGCGTTTAAAACAGCAACCAAATCCTTTTAACCCATAAAACAAACAAACCAACCACACACCGACACGTAAACAGCCTTTATTTAGTTATTCCCTTGACGTGGCTGTTACTTACTTTACCAAATTCTTTCAAATCGCCAGAACCAAACCGGGTACGGATTTACCTGCCCGACCCGAGAATTGGCTTTCCCACACGGAGGGGCAATGCGACGGCGCAATCTCAGCGGAGCGTCGTCCAGCAACAACGTTACCGATCCGCGTGACGGTGAGAGAAGTGTTAGAGTACTCCCTCACCTGTGTGATTATCCCATTCGCTACGGTCCAAGCGTGGATCCAAGAAATCGAGGTCGCGGCGTCGCAGCCTTCTGCGATTACGGTAGATCCGAACGAAACGACGGAGAGAGGTACGAATTCGAACGAGGAAGAAGACGGAGAGACTCCTCCGGTGAGTACGCGCATCAAAAACTGGTGCGGCGGAGGGCCGTGGAACCAATACTCCAGATCTGGGGTTAAGATCTGGTGCACAGATTTAACGTCGCGAGATCTCAAGGCTTCATACAGTTTCAGAACCACGTCTCGGTTCTTGATCTCTGATTCCGCCAGAGTATCCAGTTCTTGGCGAATTTCTGGAATCGAAGTGAATTATCAGAAGAAGAAAATGGTGGATGATGAAGAAGATTAAACGATTCTTAAGGGATTTTGAAAATGGTAATGATAATTCTGGGATTTATATAGCGGAGGCTATGGGTTGGGTTTTGATTCTCTGTAACCCATCCTATTTTTATGGTTTTTATATTTTTAGCTTAAGATTGGCACGTGGCGTTATGGTAGTGGGTTAAACTGGATTGTGGGACCCGAAGATAAAGGTGTTTGAAAGTTGAGCCAGCTAATTGTTGACCCACCGTCGTTTGTATTAGGTGAATATTTAATAGGTTTATGGAATTTGTTTATGGTAAGTAAAATACTTCTTGACTTTTAGTAGATTTGAGAAGGAATGAATTTCTATTAAACCCAAATCTAGGAAATTTATGTAAGATTTTTAGAAAATAAAAATTATTGATAATATAAAATAAAATTGTAAACTATAAAATAGGAAAAAATGGATTTGAAAAAAAAATGTTACCATTAGATAGGAGCATTTATATGTTTAATTAAAAACACTTCTACATCTCTTAAAATAAAATGTGAAATCTCTTAATTCTAATGAAAAATCATTAAGGGGGGGGGGGGGTATTGAAGCAAAGAATGTCATAGAATTTAATAGAATGGAATTAAAGACATAAATACAGATTTGTAAGTACTTGTAAAGATTTTTTAAAATCTTTCTTTCAAATTCTACGAATATTCTACAATAATTTAATAGAATTGAAAAGAAATTTCAATAGAATTGAAAAGAAATTTCAATAGAATTGAAAAGATATATTTACAAAATTCTTCTACCTCTTGTTATCCCTCCGGAGAGCTTCCACGAAATTACTCCGGGGGCAGAAGTGACGGTGGCAACAGATGTGGAAGCCACTGCTGGTCACCGTAGGGGTGGTGACGGTGGCGATGGAAAGAAGAAGTGTGTGTGTTCACCGTCGAAGCATCCAAGATCGTTCAAGTGTAGGTATCATCAACATGAATATCAGTGGCTTCCTTCATCTTCTTCTTCATCCCTTCACAAATAACGCATCATCAAATCATCATGTAAACAATAATTATAGTTTTCTATTTTTATTATTCATGATTATTTTGATTCGTTTAAGTATTTCAATCAAAGTAGAAATTGTGTTGTGGTTCTTCGTATTGCTCATCAACTCCATTAGCTCATATCTATGTTCTATCAAATTCCCCTGTTGGTGGGAAATCTTTATTTGCAGGGAATGAAAGCTTCTTTGGTGTTTGTGGACTCGCTGTCGCATCTTGTTTGGACATGCTGTCTTCTAAAACCCTTGAAGTTCCCTTACGAGACATTTCTGTCGCTTATCGTTGGTAGCAGAAGATATTGTAGCGAAGACTGCCTTATCATTGAAGAACGCCCTCTTGTTGGCGTGGAATGAAGACTCTTTGATTTTGCAATTGTTCTTGGACTCCCAGTTCATTGTAATACCTTTCAAGTCACTCGAAGTCACCGTTGAGCTAGGGAGAATTCTGCTTGTTTTACCTCCGATTTATCCCCTTGCGTCACATGGCATCTCTGGAGGATACGAGAAAACAGGAGAAGTGAGGTCTCATGTGGAGATGTGATGAAAGAGGCAGTAATCTCGTTTACACAAAAAAAGAGAGAAAGGGAGAAGAGGAGAGAGTTGGAGAAGTCGCACAGGTGGTGGAAATCACTGGTGGCTCTATTAGCACATGTCATGGTTGTGGAAACTCTCGATGGTGGTGAAGGATCAAGCTTGGAGCAGATCAGAGGTGGAAAAGAAGATATGTTGCACATGAGTTCATAGCTAATGGTTTGCACATGAGGCTCTTGGTTGCTCCAGAAGAGATGTCAATGGGAAGACGAATCATTTGAGGGAAATTTTGATGAGGTCTTGGCTCCATAAGAGATGCCAATGAGAAGAAGACCCATTTGAAGTCCGTACGTCCTTTTTTTTTCCACCGAAATCACAACGTAAAGGCTCAGAATTTGTTCAATACATTTTACACTAATGTTTCTATTAAATTCTTGTCAAATAATGGTGTCATAGAATTTTACATAACATTGAATAACACTTGAATTTAATAGAATTAAGAATTCAACAAATTGAATAACACTAGAATTAAAAGTATTTCAAAAGAATGGTTACAAATACTTATTTCAATAACACAAGAATTTAATAGAATCTACAAAAAGTCAAAATGAATAACACTAGAATTCAAATTCTGTTTAATTCTATCAATTTCCTTCGTCCAATACCCCCCTAAGAGAATAATACCAAATTTTAACTAATATCTAGAAATTATTAAACAAATAACAACACACAGTTTGGATTAAAAATCAATTATTCTTTGTTTTAATTTTAAAATTAATGAAAACCCACTAATCAATAAATCTCTAATAAATTACTTTCAATAATGACTTTCCACTTTAAAGAATCAATTAGTCCTTGATATTTTTCTATGCTCATATTATTGGAGGAAACATTTTAAAATCTTCACGGATCATTCACAAACACAGAAATGATTTCTAATTAGTATTCTAGTTAGATGATTGGCAGAGTAATCAAGAAATATGCAAAGAAACGTGTTCAACGAGTATGTTGGTCGAGCCAACTTTTTTTTTTTGGTCAAAACCATTTCACAGAAGTTTGCAGCATAATGCATAATCATCTTGACACGTGTCATACACCGAGTCCACGTAGAGCACAATGGCCACACCTATTGGCTCCATCTAGTCCTGCGACAGCGACTTCAGTGTACCCATGACACGTTTCCATGTCTTATATACATTTATACGTACGTATTGAAGTAGAGACAAAGGAATTTTGAAGAATTTTGAATTGGTGTAGTTTCTTTCTAGTATGAATGTAGTCTTTTAATATTAAAACTGGAGAAAGTGTTAAGCTATAGTTTTGTCAATAGTATTAGTGGTACATTTTTGTTCTTAAAAACAATTTTAAATTAGAAACTAAAGAATTTGATTGGCTAAAATACCACAACCTTTAATGATGAAAAATAACTTTGTTTTGTCATTACTATCTTTTGATATTTGTGCAGAGTTTCACAAAGAAAATAAAGGTTAGCTTTTAAAAGTAAAAGAAAATAAAGGTTTAACTAATACATCAAAAGTTGATTACACAACAAAACACAGAAAGTTGATTACATAAACAACTAACTATACATAAGTGGATTAGTGATGTGGTTCTCCACGATAATGACTCTTTAAGACGGTGATGCTTAATTCTTATATTGCATACTGATACTGATCTTTCTCTGCTATGACAACTTGTGGTATCATTTTCATATATAGCACTATCTACTATACATTTTTGCAGCAGTTTTTGGGTACCCAAATCGGGTCAAATTTGTTTAATTTTGACCCAGAAATCTTCAATCGGATCTTTCCTTAAATTTTGGCAAAATTAAAAAACGAAAATAATTAATAAAATCTAAAATATATATACTTTCTCAACTAATTACTATATTTAAACGCTTTATTTATGGTATATTCTCTACGATTTTTATAGATAAAGAAATCAAATATGATGATTTAATGCTAATATAACAAATTTGCACTAATTTCCTAAAACCTCTCTACCTAATCTAAACATAAATATATGATTCTTATTTCACTTTTATTTGATCTTATATTTATATTATTTTAAATTATTATAAAATATATAAATAGTTAGTAAATTTTAGTTTTTTTTTTTCTGCATATGTTACAATTCAAATTTTTTAAAACGGACATATATTACTCAATCGATGAATAAAAATATGTGTGTAATCTATATTAACATTTTTAAGAACAAATTGAGCATTTAATCATGTCGTTATTTTATTCAGACCCGAAATTGAGTCATTCGGATCTTTCTTTAATTTTTACAATTATCTAAAATGGGACAGTATATCACGGGTGAAATCCTAATTAGTATTTTAAGATACAATTATAAATTGTTTTTACGGGTTGGTCCAAAAACACACACTAATTTAAAAATATACATGGAAACTATTTGAAAGCAATTTTCAAATTAACTCGAATTATATGACATTTAAATAAAAGTGTTATTAAAAAAAATAACAAAATGATGTTTAATTTCATTTTAGATTATATGGTTGGACGGGTTTGGGTCAATATTAATACGAGACAATATACCACAGGTGAAATCCTATAAATAACAAATCAAAATACAATTATACAATCTTAAACACTAAACAAAACAAATACAACTTAAAATTTTTTATTTTAGATACAACGCATGTGACCCGCGGTATACAACAAAAAATATTATACACAATAAATTCATCAATTTATAAAAATAAAAAAATTAAATAATTAACCCGCGGTGTACCGCGGGTCATATCCTAGTCTACTATACATTTTTGCAGCATTTTTTGGGGTACCCAAATCGGGTCAAATTTGTTTAATTTTGACCCGGAAATCTTCAATCGGATCTTTCCTTAAATTTTGGCAAAATTAAAAAACGAAAATAATTAATAAAATCTAAAATATATATACTTTCTCAACTAATTACTATATTTAAACGCTTTATTTATGGTATATTCTCCACGATTTTTATAGATAAAGAAATCAAATATGATGATTTAATGCTAATATAACAAATTTGCACTAATTTCCTAAAACCTCTCTACCTAATTTAAACATAAATATATGATTCTTATTTCACTTTTATTTGATCTTATATTTATATTATTTTAAATTATTATAAAATATACAAATAGTTAGTAAATTTTAGTTTTTTTTTTCTGCATATGTTACAATTCAAATTTTTTAAAACGGACATATATTACTCAATCGATGAATAAAAATATGTGTGTAATCTATATTAACATTTTTAAGAACAAATTGAGCATTTAATCATGTCGTTATTTTATTCAGACCCGAAATTGAGTCATTCGGATCTTTCTTTAATTTTTACAATTATCTAAAATGGGACAGTATATCACGGGTGAAATCCTAATTAGTATTTTAAGATACAATTATAAATTATTTTTACGGGTTGGTCCAAAAACACACACTAATTAAAAAATATACATGGAAACTATTTGAAAGCAACTTTCAAATTAACTCGAATTATATGACATTTAAATAAAAGTGTTATTAAAAAAATAACAAAATGATATTTAATTTCATTTTAGATTATATGGTTGGACGGGTTTGGGTCAATATTAATACGAGACAATATACCACAGGTGAAATCCTATAAATAACAAAGCAAAATACAATTATACAATCTTAAACACTAAACAAAACAAATACAACTTAAAATTTTTTATTTTAGATACAACGCATGTGACCCGCGGTATACAACAAAAAATATTATACAGAATAAATTCATCAATTTATAAAAATAAAAAAATCAAATAATTAACCCGCGGTGTACCACGGGTCATATCCTAGTAGTTTTATATTATTTGTTAACATTGTTAAATCTCGTCTCAATTAGGTGTAGATCACCACTATCGATACGTGGGTTTATAGATACGTGCAATCCCTTATGTAATCCACTGAGACTTTAGAATTTGGACCCAAACCGGACCAGAAAACCAAGCAAAATTTTGAACTGGTGTCATGAATTAGAAGTAAAATCAAAGCCTGCAAAGACACATAGATCACGCAAAGTCTCACTGAAGTATGACAGACAAATTTACATTACAGAAGAAACCGTGAAAGTTCACTAAACCAGAAACCGAAGTTGTATATAACTCACATGAAGAAACCAGCTTCATGAAACTTTGTAAAACACTCAAAGAGACTTGTATTCAAAAGTTGTCCTCAAATCAAATAAATACAACATCTGAAGAGAAAGGAAGGAGAGTTACCAGTGGACTCGAATTCCATGGTTTTACAAATCAAGCTTCTCGGTGTATAGACAGAGGAGAAGGTGGAGTCAGAGCAACCTCGCTTTTACCTTCTTCTTTCTCTCTAGGTGTCTGAATATTTGGACTATGTACCTCTTTCCAAAACCTGCTCGGGCTAGGAGAACTAGCTCCACTTATGTTCTTAGGGGAGCTCCCGAGACCAAACCGAGGATCAAACACACCGTCCTCACGAGGCAAAGGAGATACCAAATTCGGAGATGCCAAATTCTTCTCTTCTTTTCTTTGGCAGAATTTGTCTTCCACTATCTCATAAGCGTTTGCAGTCCTAACTTCTTGTGCTAAAGAGCACCAGCAACAACATAACCAGAGCGCACAATCAGCAATCGCGGCTCTACCGAAGCAGAACTTATAACTCGGCAATTTGAATCTTTTCCTCATCTGAATTCTCCAGAATCCACCATAGAGCAAACCAAACACACAAAGAAGGATTCCAGATATCCCAAGCGCCTCCCTAACCGTCTCATTATCGATATTAACTGCAGCTAAGTTGAATATAAAGAAAGGTGCCAAACAAAAGAGAATAAACGTCGCTATGTGAACATACATGTTCCCAAACCCAACTCTCTCCATGTTCCATCCAAAGACGCAGAAAGTGCAGAAAAGGGAAAGATAAGCCAATGAAATATCATCCCAAATATCCAAAATTCCACCACTCCATTGAGGATCACTCACCGGAACCATTCCATCCCCAACCCCCGTGGAAGCAGAAGCAAACGAATACCTCCTCTCTAAAGTAAACCGGCGATTCACAGACCCTTCTTCACGTTGCTGCAGTTGATTCTCCTCGTCTTCATTTGAATCATCATAATCTTTCCCAAGTGGACTTAGTATAGTGTACAAACCCGCAACCGCAGGAGCTCCAATCGCAGCAGAGATACATATAGCGACTCCAATGGGAGGTCTCTCTGATCTCCTGAATCCAACATTAAGACCACAAAGCGCGTACTGAGCAAAACAGTTCAAGTGAAGCAAAAGGACAACAACCATAATGTGCATCCATTCATTCGGCTTATAAGTCCCGTCCTTGCAATAAGCTTTCCTAAGCTTTGTAATATCATCCTGCTTCCATCTACAAAGAAGCACCAAGTGATAAAACCGTTTGGGATGTTGATAAAGACACATCAAAGTAAACAACCCATTAAGAATCTGATTGTTAACTTCAAACCAAGCATCTCTCTGTGACTTCTTAGGCAAAGCATGATTCAACATACCAGTCATAACCATGAAGAGAATAGCACCAGAGACTGCAACAACAAGTATCCACACAAAGAGAGCCATGTTAATAGGATTCCTAATCCATTCTTTCCCCATTTTCATCAGAGAACTCCAATCGATTTTCCGGTGAAGCACACCACTGATTCTTTCCCTGAAGTTATGACTGCTGCCGCTACTTGAGCTCTTCACTGACCGGGAAACCTCGTCTCTATCCTCAGCCATTTTCTTGAATTTAGCAGAAGGAGAACCAAATTTCAGAAGCTGGAATCTACTAGAAGCATCAGGCAAAGCACTAATAGACCATCTCCTAGGTTTACCATGACCAATCAAAGTTCTTCTAGATGTAGAAACATCAAGAGGACAAGGAGGAACCCTAGTTTTTTTGCCAGAAGAACCATTAGATTCTTCAATCTCTGCTTTCAAATTCCCATCACAATTCGATCCCATTCTCTCTCTTAAAGATCAAATCTTGTAGGAATAAACCAGCAGCTACTCAAAGGCATATATGCTTAGCAAGCTTAAACATTGTTGGCAAAGAATATAAAAACCCAGAAAAAAAAAAGAAGAAAAGATTCGACTTTTGCCAACGAAGCTTCTTCTCAGCACATTGGAACCAAACCAAACAAGTCTTCAGATTTGACTAAACAAAGATGAACAGAAAAGGAATCAAACCCTTAACAGGAAAACTCGTTGAATCGAATTTTTAAAAAATGCCCAAAATCCGATTTCAGCTGCAATAACAGAGAAAAACCCAGAAAAATTTAGAAAGAAGCGTTACTCAGACTAAGAATTTTCAAAAAAGAGAACGAATAAGCGTGTAATCAAAAAGGTAAGGCTTCTGGTGTGAAATTGATGGAACATAAGATTGGTCGTTGGGGGAAGAACAAGTCTCAGATTCTTTTTTTTTTCTCGTGGTAGCAGTTAACTTAGCGTTGATCAGGCCGCCATTATTGTCCCAATACGTTTTTATCAATGAAATGAAAATAAATAAAAATTAGCATTATTGTATCAGATTTTGATTTATTACTACTAATTTACTGACAAACTGTTACAGTGTGTATTGTTCTTACAACTAATAATACGTTTTTCACATTGTGGGTTCTATTTTTGCTAATTTATATATACTTGATTAAGAAAGTCTTCCCACCTTCCAAGACTATAGCTCTTAGCAAATGAAAAATATCATTAAATTTATAATGATATCGATTACACCAAGATTCTCGCACATTAATGTGTTATATTATAATGTCACAATCGAAGCCATCCAGTGTTTAATTTAGGGTTTCTATATCAAGTTTTGGATTTGACCTATGGAGCAGGAGTATGGATAATACATTTTCTTATAAATTATAGATGCAAATATCTATGGAAGTATAGCCATCTTATCTATCATAGTCTTTTTTTGGGTGTTAGCAATTTGCAAGTAAAGTTGTTTGTGGTTTAGTGTGATACTATATGATAGACATTATGTTGTAGTTCATGCATGTCATACAATATCACACTATATATCCATATTAATAGGATGTACTTACAACACCAAAAAAAAAATGTTGATTGCAACACCATAGACTGATGATAGACATTTGTTTTCTTTAACTTCCTGTTATCGGCCCTGGTTGTTATGAGAAAGAAATTCATGGTCTCATCATCATATCTGCCTCTCCGAGTAATCAATAATAAATATTATTTTCTTGTTATTCAATTTTATCGAAGGTCCAAACACAATATCTATGGCGAATATTTGACATAAACGAAAATTTTAGCAACGACATATACAACCTTCACCAACTACAACAGGATCACATGGCCAAGTGCAATCAGCGCATGGAACCTTTTGCGGATTCACAACATGATATTGATTTCGGCTTTTCCATATATACCAGATTTCAGCGACATATATGGTTTATGTCTAGGAAATATACATTTAATAATTGGAGATTTTTCAAGAAATTCATATAAAAATCTTATATGGATTTATTTATTTAATTGGTCTATATATACACTTGTATCTCAAAATCTTTAACAGTAGTAAATTTTTAGGTTTCTATATTGATGAAATTTAACTTTTAGGAAAAAACATGTAAATTTTTATGTTTTAATGTTTCTATATCTCAAAACCCATTAACCCCATTAATATTGATTTATTAGGCCCATTAACGTCCCTATTTGTATAGTAGCCAACAAAGTCCATAATTCTCACTGTTTTTAGGGGTTAGTGTTTGCCAGATGCAGACTTCGTGGTGTTTTACACCCATAAAAACGACGCAACGTCTCACACTAAGAATATAAACGGCATCAATGGCGTGATCCACTGGATAACAATTTCAGTTTGCTCTCTTTCACCTTCTCTCTCTCAACGTTCTCTGGCTGCAAACGTATGAACCAGAACAAAGGCTTTTAGATAGTTCCTACTGCGAACCCTAAAATCATTCAATAAACAAAAACGAATGCTTCGGTTCAATCATCTTCTCAGTTTCTGATTCCGAAGAAACCCTAATCAAATTTATCATGGACTGCTCATGCAGTACTCGTCCTTCGTCTCTGCTCATCTCTTCCGAACCATCTTTTCGCTTTCCTCACTCTAATTTCTCCAAAAATCTCAGCTTTCAGGTTCGTATAAGTATCGTTTAATCTCCTTCTTTAGCTTTGATTCGAAATCAATGGGGGGACAATTTTAAAGTTCTGGACTTTTTTTTTAATTTCCAGATACCGAAAGACACGAAGTTGGTGAAGCAGCGGTTGGTAGTGAGAAGTTCTTCTGGGTCTGATTATCAAAACGGCGACGTTAATGGGTTTCCTCTAAAACCAAACAAACTCTTTATGCAAGAGGTAAATTTTCCTGTGTTTCTGGTGGTTTAGAAGTGGAAATTTGATGACTTTATTGATGAATTGTTGAATTTTAGGCGATTGGAGCTGAGTATGGAGAAGGCTTTGAGACTTTTAGACAGGATGGTCCTCTTAAAGTGGATGTGGTAAGAGCTACTGATGCTTATGAATCTTTTATTTGGTTATTCTTTTGGTAAGGTAACATGTTTTTTTTGCTTGTAAGTAGGATTTCTGGAATGAGAAACTACAAGATGGTTTTCTTCAAAGAATACGTTACGCAATGAAACCAGATGAAGCCTATGGACTTATTTTCTCTTGGGACAATGTCGTGGTAATTCTTTGACACCATCTTTATGTTTGCAAGTTAAGTTTGATGAAGTTTCTTGTTGCTTATATAGATTACATATAATAGCTTCTTCTTCTAGTGGGGCATGAGGATTTGTCTTATAAATATCAGTTTTATTGTTTGTTTAGATGATGGCTGTCCTGTTATTTGGTAAATCTCTTAAGTTGTAGGATAGAATTTCGTGGTCCATGCATACTAGTTTTGGGTCTATTTTAGGTACAATTTCTTTTTCTTCTTGTATGGCACGAGGGCTGGGCGGATTTGGCAAAAGTTGTAGAATAAAATTGCTTCTTTAGAATCGTGCTTACCAATTTTGGATTCAAGAGTCGGATTTTCTCAGTTTTCCATTTGTGGTTCAAACGTTGTAGGCTGATACTCGAAGTCTTAAGTTGGAAGCTTGGAAGCAGCTCGCTGCAGAAGAAGGTAAGCTTTTATTGTGCGGCCCTCCTGCTCTTAAAGTTTTTACCCAAATAGAGTCTAGTTTCTTTTTGCTTACATATTTGTGGACAGAGATATCTTGCACTACCTGATCATATATGTTTAGTGCTGCCCATGCACCCTTGTAAGGAATGTTGGGAGAGTGTGCAGCGATATCAATGAACTCAAACGTTAGATTACCTTCTTTGAGGCCTCAATCGTTTGTTTTGCGTTTTCTTTTACGTTTAGATGTCATGCTAGTGTGTTTTTCTTAAGTTAAACCCACAAACTCTAATGTTTTAAGAAAAAATCCTTTGTAAACTGTAAACCCAAAAGAAGGAGAAACTTCTTTTGCATTTACAGTTCCCAAAATATATTTCATGGGAAAAAATGGAATTTTGTTTTAATTTAAGATGTACATGTAAACCCAAGTGCAAAAATTTGATCGGTATACAGCTTGCTCTGAATGTTCATTGCAGTATAGAGTTGACTTTTTTTGTTTATGTGAACTTTTCAATTGAGCTATTGAGATAATCTCGTGTGTTAGCTCTTTTGCTGGTATGTAGTATTATACTTCAAAGGAATTGATGTTGTCTTACTTATATTAAACTACCCATCTCTCTTATATTAAATTGTTTGGCAGGAAAAGAAATTACGGAGGAGGTTGACATCCAAAGACTGATGCTTTATGCCGGCGCTGACCATGTTCTTAGTAAGGTTTGATATTCATTCTCAGTTGCCATTTTTCTTTGATATGAAATGTGGAGTCCAACCCTACTCTCATTGTATTCTTTTTAGATTTAGGAGTTGGCCATAACGAGCTCTATGTGTATACCCGATTCATAACATAAGGAAATGGATTCAATTGCTGGTTTTCAAAATATTTCAGGTATTGTATTGGGAGAAAACGCAAAGCAAAATCGACAGATTGAAACTCAGGCTATCGGAAATATATTACGATAGTCTTCTCAAAGTATGGTCTTTCTGTATCAATCTTTGTATTAATCAAATCCGCTTTGTTTTTGGTTCCCTAAATTGTGTCTCTATCGGTATTTCAGCTAACAAAACCAAAAGAAGGACTTAGAGATTGGCTCGACGCTGTTACAACTGCTCGCATTCCCTGTGCTGTGGTCTCAAATCTTGATCGAAAAAACATGATCAATGCTCTTGACCGGATGGGACTTCAAAAGTATTTCCAGGCGAGTAGTAGCTTTATATAGTCATCTTACTTTTTGCAGATAAATAGTTATACTTGCTGATGATTGTATTCATTCTCTGTTTCAGGCAGTGGTTTCCGAGGAAGATGGTATGGAATCGATAGCTCACAGATTTCTTTCTGCGGCTGTGAAGGTACCGTTTTTATTCAAATGCGAATCCTAGTCAATTTCTGAGAAACGTTGCTGACAAGTTTTACAACTTTTGCGCAGTTGGATAGAAAACCGTCGAAATGTGTTGTGTTTGAGGATGATCCTAGGGGTATAACTGCGGCTCACAACTGTACAATGATGGCAGTTGGATTAATCGGTGCTCATCGGGCGTAAGTAGAAAATTTACTCTTTTACTCTTTTTGGGGAACCAGAAGCATATCTGGCATCTAACTTTATCAAAAACAAATCTGCAGGTATGATCTGGTTCAGGCTGATCTTGCAGTTGGAAACTTTTACGAGCTATCTGTGATAAACCTCAGAAGATTATTTGCGAACAAAGGCTGTACATTTATGGATCACGAGAAACAGATCATAGAAAAATCGCCGCCGAAAAGAAAGCTAACCATTGATACCATATTCTAAGCACATTGGATCGCAGCATATAGTAGTTAGGTTAGGTTCATAATCTCTTAAGCTCTTGTCTTTATGGTTATACATATGTTTGATACTAGATGCAAACCGGATCTATCGAGTGAAATATGGAGCTTATTATCTTCATTTTCCTGGGTGTTTGTGCAAGAGCAATGATCTAGGTCGTTGCATTTGTAAATTTTTGACTGTGTGGATTTTGCTGAGAAAGCGATTGGATTGTGGACCCAAGGAAACATTCTTGGAGCTTCGGACAATGGCATCAATGGTGGGCTGTTCAAACGAATCAGATACCTTTAAAGTAGAACCCAAAAGACAAAACTGAAACAGTGACTGTTCAGGCGATGTGGTGAAACTGAAAATTTCCCATTAGTGTTTCAGTGATAATGCCTTAAAAGTTAAAACCCCATATTGTAATCATGTCATTTATCATTAGTAGAAACTAGATTTGGAATAGGCATCAAAATGAAAAAAAAAATGGCCAGTTAAAATTTAAGTTACTATTATTTATGTACAATAAACACTACCATATCTTTTTTAAAAAAAAAAAAAAATCTTTGGCTAAATCTACAATAATGTAGAAATTGCATACATATATATTTGTAGGTCGAATTTAAAAGAGAATAAAAGAAAGAGGTTATCCTTTTGGGAAATGGATAAGTGGAGCAATTTGATTGTTACAACTTACAAGTAAAATACAAAAGGACCTTTGATTCAATTTGCGAATTTGATTGACATGTGCCCTATTGATAGTACTCTACAGAATCGCATAAATCACAAAACTTTTATAAAGTATCTCTCCTGTAATTTTAGTTATTAATCTAATGAATGTATTCAACTTCATTTCGACATGTTATTGGGTGGGGATTTTTGAAAAGATAAAGAAAAGTGGGGTCTCTTTTTATGTTTGTCCTAATCATAATCAGAATGTTCTTTGAGAGACTTATTCTTTGTTCCATTGTGCATAACTTAAACTTGTAATGATTAGATTTCCCAATGTCATTAGCCAGCTATTAGGCTTTCTTGTAATTTTTGTTTTTTATGCATTGAATAAAGGTTCGAACATAACTAGTCCAATGAAATTGGTTTTGATTTTGGTTGGAATATAAGTTTAGCTTTTGTTACACTAATTCGAATCAGGCATCCATAGTTTTGTACAAATTGTAAAAGCCTTGTGTCATGACAACTTTTTGACAAGTAACTTCGTTCCTCACCCTAAAGTGATCCACTGATTAAAAACAAATATTCCATATGATAAAAAAATTTATTTGTGGATATTAGTATCCAAGTCCTCATCCGACAATATGAACATTTCAATATTGAATAGTGGTTTCCTAGAACAATTAACGAAACTAATTAAAATTATAACAGGTTAATGACACGTTAGTACGTAGTGATAATATACGATCACAGAATAAAGGAAGTGAAAAGGAGATGCAAATAAGAAAGTTAGGACATAAGAATTTGATATTTGTACTCATCCAATTGGATCAGAGCGCTTTTATTTATCTTTCATATGAATTAAATGGGTGTGTGATTGTAATGCGACTTCTAAACGAATTTGCACAAAAAAAAAAAAAACATAACAAAAAGGGGTCCACTTCTCCCCAGCCAGCAAAATGTTGATTTTGACACAGAGGATAATGAGGAAAATAACCAAAACATTGGTATAAATAAATAATTTAAAATGCTGCACATTTTTTATTTTAACAATTAGTTAGCTTTTTCCCCTTTATTTGTCATACT